AATAATATATGTATATATATATATAAATTTTTATTTGTATAAATACAATTTTAACCTAGCGACTTAAATTAACGCATTTTCGTCGTTCGTTTTGTCAACTTCAATAACATGTCAAGTTTTATTGCCTGGTGATCTTCCGAAAACGATAAGTTCGAAGCGTCTTTTATTAATTTGAATCAAGCAGTTGCAGAGCATTTTAATTCTAAAAAAAAATGGTGCACAAATGCAGAATGATCCAGACACTTCATTTTGCAATCTGATTATGGCGGAATTAAAACAATTGGATGATGATATAAAACAAGTCAAGAAACAAGAAATCATGAAAATTTTGTGGAGAAAAGAAAACCTGTGAGCGAGATGATTTTTGTGATAAAATAAATAATTTGCATTTATTCGTAGATACATATAATACTCATGTCTTAAGATTGTGTGATATTAATTTTAGTAATAACATATATGTGTACTGGTATATAATAATATTAATAATAATAATATTAAAGAAATTTTGTACTATTTATTTTATATTCACATTGTTCGGGCGCGCAATAAACGCGCCGAACGAATCGCCGAATCCGTTCCGCGAGAACGCGAGATAATTACGAATGGCTTCGTTCAGCCCTTTAATTATGAGACGACCGGGGTTTCAGTGGAACGCGGACTCGATCGCTTGTTAGGAAATTGAGTGGAAGGCCCAAAAGACAGCAATTGACTTATCGTATAGACAAACTTTATTCAATATAATAACCAAACTGACGAAACGCGAGATATACAGAGAAATTGGTGCGAATGCACTCGGCGCGCTGTGCCTTGTCGTTTTGAAGCGCGGTTTTACATAAAGTGCGAATTTACCGAGCCGCGGTTCTCTCCTACTCTATACTCTTCGGCGCGGTTCGTTATGTTGCATTTGCACGCGGGCGGAAACGCGATCGGTATGTGCGAATGCCCGGGGCGGATTCGACGGTGAGCGCTCGACTAGTACGGACGTGCTTTCCCTCCCTGCGATTCTGCGCAGTTCTACCTTGCGTTGTTGCGTGTGTATTATTCGGGCGTGTGTTTGATTTGTATTGTGGGTAGCTTTAAGAGTCTTGGGGCTTCTCCTTTTCGTGTCCTATTAACTGAGTCAAATCGAATATCCTTGCTAGTGATAGGTTTTGTTCGATTATGCAGGCGGCTTCGGCCCCTGTAAAGGAAAACATCTTGAAAGAGGCGGACCGGCGGCGATGCCTGTCCGTATCTCGCAGTGATTTCGACAGTTTTTTTGAAAAAGCGATAGAAAATTCAGCAATAGTGTCGGATTCGTATTCTAGTTCGCGATCGCGATCTCGCTCGCGTTCACGTTCGAGCTCTGAGTCGTGCAATCAATCTCACTCGCGTTCTCGATCTCACTCCCCTCCCGATGCGCATAATACTCCTCGTGCTTCCAAATTTATTAAGCCTGAACAAGTGATAAATATGGAGAAGAAGAAACAAAAGAGCCGCAAAAACAACAACGGTGGCGAGGATTTGGATTTCGTCCCTCCCTCCGAGTCAACGGTTAGCAAAGATGCAAGGTCCCTCGCAGTCAATACGAATGTATGTAACGTAAACAATGCCATGGACATTGACCCCCCGCGCGGACAAAAGCGATCGGCAGATACCAAAGGTATGACTGTAGATAGAATAAAGATCCCCTGTGACACTCGTAATATCCCGGCGAAGGATTCCGATGCGGGGCAGCTCGGCAGTGACGGGGCTCCCCCTGCGGCGTCGACCCCCCTTCCCTCGGAACCAAGTAAAGTAACTAATCGCTATCGTGTTACCGACGAGAAACCATTCATTGTACACTTTCAGCATGTCCAAACGAATGTCTCCCTTCATTCCCTGCAAATTTCGCGTATGATTAGCGCCTCTTTTAAAAAGGACATTGTCGAATGTAAACAAGTGGGAAACAACAAAGTCATGGTCACTTTTTCTACGGCTAAAGCAGCCAATAGCGTTATTGATCATCCATTGTTAAAGCAAAAGAACTTGACTGCGTTTATCCCATCCTTCAGGGTAATGAGGGTAGGCATTGTCAGGGACATCCCGACTGAATTTGCGCTAAGTGAATTGGAAACTGAAATTGAGTCTCCGGCTAAGATTTCTTCGATTAGTCGTATGAACAGAAAAATCAGAGAAGAAGATGGCACTTTTAAGTTCGTTCTGTCCAAAACTGTATTGTTAAAGTTCGAAGGCCAAAAACTTCCTAAAGAAGTAGCTCTCTTCAAAACAAAGATACCGGTTGTGCCTTACATTCCGCGGGTATTAATATGTTTTTCGTGCTACCGATTTGGCCATGTCGGTGCCAACTGCAAAGGAAATCCCCGTTGCATTAGATGCGCTCAAGTTAAGCATAATGGGGACGAGGTATGTCCTCGTCAGGAACTTCCTCCCGTCTGTGGTAACTGTGGGGCCGAGCATTTGCCCACATCACCTAGCTGTCCAGCTCTCGGTAAACAAAAACAGATATACAACATCGCATATGGCGAGAACATACCTCTCCCACAAGCGCGCGCAAGAGTCGAGGGAGGCGACCCACGACAGTTAATTAGTTACCGATCTTTAGAAGATTATCCACAACTGCCGAATCAATCTCGGTGGCAGAGTCAGTCTCTCAATTCTAATTCCTATGCGAATTGCAACCCTTATGAGTATTTAACCAACGCATCCGGTGCGAGCTGCGTCAACAGTCATGGAGGCACATACTCAGAAGCCCTCCGTAACCACCGAAATAATACTAATTTTAAGAACCGACATAATACCAGGGTTTTCACGCAGAATCAAAATAGAGAAAGAGAACAGGAAAAAATGAAACGCGATCAACTATACTCACAAAGACAGCAGGCCTTTCGTGACCTACACAATTCCGTGTTATACGCTCCTAACGGTAGGACTCCCAATTTTGATTCCTCCTCTTCCGATCTTCATCTCCCCACTTCCCAATCCCTACCCTCTTCCTCTCCCCTTTCCCACTCACCCCCCTCTTTTGAGCAAACTTCCTCAGAGGAATCTATAAGGAATAATCTTACTCAGAGTAATAATCTTCAATTTTTAAACATGTTTGCAATGTTTATTAATCATTTTGTCGAACTTATCCCGCCCTCACTTAACGGCACCCTACTCTGCGAGGGAATCCAACAAATACGTCGCTTGCTACTGGAACTCACACATCATCAAGCCCTCTCACATGGCTAATTCTTCTACACAAACTTTAGCGTATGCCCCCGGTTGCGGTATTCTGTACTGGAACTGCAGGGGAGCAGTAAGTAAAAAACCTGAGATAGAAAAACTTTGTGAGGACTATGAAGTTATATTTCTAGCTGAAACATGTATGACCCCTGCTAATGACTTCTCTATTCGCGGCTTCAAAGTACTTAGAAGGGATTCCTTTGATCCCAGTGTCAGAGGGATGCTTGCCTTGGTCAAGGACACAATTTTATTCTCTCAAATCAACCTTGCAGGACTATTGGACCCATCTGTGGAGGCCATTGGTTTGGAGCTGAAGATAGCCAGCGTCAGAACAATCGTTGTAGGAGTTTATAGACACCCTAAGCCTTTCGTCTGCCAAAATTCTTGGCGAGACCTGTTCTCACTGGTTGACCCTCGAGAATACTTTCTCCTTATGGGAAACATAAACGCCCATCACCCCTATTGGGGAGCAACCCGGGCTAACTCAGCAGGGTCTTGTATTGTTAACATTCTTGATCAGTATCCGTTAAAGCTTATTAGCCCAGATTTGCCTACCTATATTCCTCCTCCAGGCATCACGCCTTCTCTATTAGACTTGACAATTTGCTCATCCAACCTGGCTCCTCTATGCGAATCTCTTACTCTTCGAGACACAATGGGCAGCGACCACCGTCCGATCATTGCCTACGTTAATCGACAGGTTAGATCAGTAAAAGTTTTTTCCTACAAACACAAATTATCGAAAGAACAATGGAGAAACTTTACCTCTATCCTGCAATCACGTGCTAAAGATTTGGAGGCGGAGGTTCTTGAGATCAGTGATAAGGAGCTTTTGCAACAATACCGCGTGTTTTTTAATCAAGTTGATAACGTCCTTAGTGAGTTCTCTCCCCCAGCTAGAGACTCAGTTTCTCTGAAACATCGGAAAAAAGATGGTACTCATACAGGTCCGCCTCCCGCCCCTTGGTGGACAAAGGAGTGTTCGGAAGCAGTGCAGACTGGAAAAAGAGTATGCAAGACATACCGTAAAAACCCCTCTGTGGCAAATTATCAGGCTTATAGGGCTCAACTTTCCCTGACTAGAAAAATCCTGAGAAAGGCCAAAAGAGATGGATGGAGGGAATATTGTTCCTCGTTGGATTTTTTGACTCCTACTGTGGAGGTTTGGAGAATGCTGAAAAGGTATAAAAATCGTAAATTGGCGTCTGCCAATCCCTCTGCGGGCGTAAATAGCGAACAGATTGATATCGCAATGGCTAACATTTGTCCTCCCTCGTGTAATTCTGAACCACTAAACATCCCAGACAACTCCGCTTCCACACCTGACACCCTCTCTTGGATGGACAGCGTCTTTCAATTTCAGGAATTCGAGGCTGCTCTTGACTCCGTAAAGGTGAAGTCCAGCCCAGGTTTTGATAGAATAGATTACCAAATTATTAAATCGCTTCCTTCTTCCCTGCAAAAACTGCTTCTGAGAATCCTCAACAACCTGTTTCTGGAGGGTGCTTTTCCGGAGACCTGGTCACATTCGCTGGTATATCTCATCCCTAAACCTCACGGTGGTGGAGTTAGCTCTCACCTCCTGTGTACTTAAACTATTCGAAAAGCTTATTCTTAATAGACTACACTGGGTAATGGAGTCGAGGGCCTTACCTGAGTCTCTGGTACCTGACTTCCAGTTCGGATTCCGCAAATTCAGATCTTGCTCTGACAACCTCACTATCCTAACATCTGAAATCCAAGAAGGGTTCCTTCAGAATAAAATGACTGCGGCTTTGTTCATTGACGTGAAGGGTGCATTTGACAATGTTATTCCTGATATCCTAATTCATGATCTAATAGAACTTGGATTCCCCAAAAGGTTCTGCCAGTTCGTTCAAAACCTCATTCACTCTCGTAATGTTCAGTTTGTTGTTGATGGCAAACTTACCCCTCCTCGCACTTCGCGAAAAAGCACCCCTCAGGGATCAGTACTTAGCCCAACCTTATTCAACATTTACCTAAGGAAAATAGCAAAAGTACTCCATCTTCGCGTCAAAATTCTCCAATTTGCTGACGATATTGTTATATATGCAACGGCATCCACCCTGCAGAAAGCTATCGACTCCTTACAAAAATCCCTTGAACAGATGCAGAATTTTCTCAGAGATAGAGGATTAGAAATCTCTCTCTCCAAAACCCAACTTATGATCTTCTCGCCTATCAAGGTCAAGCGGAACTACAATCATTGCGTCATCAGAATCGACGATAGGATCATCAGCCCCTCAGATACTGTTCGTTTTCTAGGTGTCATCCTAGACCCCAAGCTTGCAGGCACTGCTCACATGGATTACCTGATTTCTAAAGCCAGGACAACAGTGAACATTATTTCTTCTCTAAGAGGGGTTTGGTGGGGAGCTCATCCCCAGCTTCTTCTTAATGTGTATAGAGCCATTTTAAGAGGTTCCCTAGAGTATGCCTCCCATATATTTTGCCTTCAAAGCTCGTCCAAATTTCATAGACTTGAAATTATACAGAATAAGGCTATTAGAGTCAGTCTGGGATATCGCATTTCTACACCCATAAACACCATGTTTGCTGAGGCTAAGGAGCCACCTTTAAAGCTAAGGCTTCAACATTTGGCTACTAAATATCTCATTAAAGTACAGTCAGTCACGAATCATCCAGTCACGGAATCGTTGTCAGAGATAGCATACTATACATCCCAGGACCCGAGGAGGGCAGAATATATAACTCATAATTTTCCTCTAGCGGAAACATTTAGAAGTGTCAAACAGATAACGCGCTACATATACAAATCAACAATCTTGCCTACTTTCCAGTATTCCTTCCATTCTTCTTTTTTCTCCCCCCCCACACTTCTACCCAAGTCCAGACTTAATGGATACCTTTAACGAAGTTCCTCGGCAACAGGTACAAGCAGCTTTTGACCAAGCATTCAGCGAGGTCATCAGGGATACTCT